TTATATTCTCCCTTAAATTTGCAAATAAGGGAAGAGGAAATGTTGGTTCTTCTCATAGTCATTGGAGGGCTCATGCTTAACTAAGCTCTATCGGACAACACAGAAACAGAGCTTATTGCAGCACTGTTCACAATAGCAAAGGCTTGGAACCAACCCAAATGCCCATCAGTGATAAACTGGATAAAGAAAATGTGGCACATATACACCATGGAATACTATGCAGCCATAAAAAAGGTTGAGTTCATGTCCTCTGCAGGGACATGGATGAACCTGGAAACCATCATTCTCAGCAAACTAACACAGGAACAAAAAACCAAACACTGCATGTTCTCACTCATAAGTGGGAGTTAACAATGAGAACACATGGACACAGGGAGGGGAACATCACACACCAGGGCCTGTCAGAGGGTGGGGAAGGATAGCACTAGAAGAAATACCTAATGTAGATGACGGGTTGATGGTTGCAGCAAACCACCATGGCATGTGTACACCTATGTAACAAACCTGCACGTTCTGCACATGTATACCAAAACTTGAAGTATAATAAAAAATAAAAATAAAAAATAAAATAAACAAAAAAAAAGAAAAAGAAAAAGAGCTTCTCTTCTAGCCCCCCTGTTTTAAACAGATAGAAATGGTAAGGTACTCAAAAACTTACATTTGTTACACCTATGTAACAAACCTGCACGTTCTGCACATGTATACCAAAATTTGAAGTATAATAAAAAATAAAAATAAAAAATAAAATAAAACAAACAAAAAAAAAAGAAAAAGAAAAAGAGCTTCTCTTCTAGCCCCCCTGTTTTAAACAGATAGAAATGGTAAGGTACTCAAAAACTTACTGTCTGAAGAACAGAGGATTAAAATGTGAATTTGACTCATTTACAAAATCCCAATGTAAAGAACAAGGACAGTGGAGAGAAGTTGTGTATACAATATTCCATCAACCAGATGCATCTAAATTGAACTGGATTATCAATGAAAAATTACTGGATTTCAATATATCTTGCTGTATTTCCAAAATGCGAGGGGAACAACAATGAACATAAAAAACAAATAGTAGTAGTACTATTTTTTTATTTACATTGTTTTTTAGTGTTGTATTATTGTTTTCAATGTTTTAAACATATTCAATCTGTGGCTGGTTTGAATCTATGGATAAAGAACCCACAGATAAGGAAGGTCTACTGAATTTGCTCTACCCAAAATGGCAGTACCATAGCATGTCATAGAACCTGAAAATCTGAATATAGAACCATTTAGCCTACCTCAGGTAATTTTCCATCAAATATTCTGTTCTTACTCTCTTATTCAACAGATATATTTAATCATCCCCAATCTGTCAGGCACTGTGGTAGACACAAGGATATAACAGTCAACAAAACAAGTCTATCTCTGCCTTCATGGAGCTTTTGGCTATCAATCATTCCAATCTATAACACTCCCTGTTCAGTAAGGAATCTCAGAAATGCTGTAAATCAAAGATTGGAAAACTGGCCCACAGGCTAAATCTGGCTGGCCTGCTTCTATAAACCACATTTCATCCCAACAGACATGCCCATTCATTCATGTATCATTACTTTTGCACTACAGCTTTGCAGTTTAGTAGTTGCAACAGAAACAGTATGGCCTGCGAAGCCTGAAATATTTACTCTATTGAATAAATATTTATTTTTTTTCTGGCACTGTTCAGAAATAGTTTGCCAAGCCTTGCTCTAAATAAAACCTAATGCTTTAAGGATGTATATTAAAAGATACCGACTGTCACTCATAAAACAGCTCTGAATTCCTTAGTTACAAACTATATGATGGGGGGTTGACTTCCTACAGGGATGTATTTCTACCACTATAATGTTTATTTTCACTTTCTTTCCTTGTAAAGGCAGGTAACAACAAAAGCATTATGTGGCTACTATCTTCTATTAACAGCTTACTCTCCTTAGATGATGTTAACGTTGTCTTACGTCTAATCTTTTGATAGATCAGAGTTCTTCACATCATAGAAGGCCCATTTTTCAGAAAAGATTCTTTTCTCTGAATCAAATCAAATAAATTTTGACAGGGGTGATTTTAGGCTATCTTTTAAATTGAACAATAAAATTGATTGTAAAAGCACTTAGCCAACACTCAAGTGCTATATAAATGCAAAATCATAGCAGCAATAGTACCTTCGTTTCCCTGAAGATACATGAGTGGATACTTAATCCCCAATCACTTGATCCAGAGAGTGTTAAAATTTTAAATGAAAGAAAAGAAGACTAACCTTCACTGGCTGTTACCAAAAAGTCCTAATAAGAAGTGACAGGCCCTGTGCTCACTGTGGTTCCACCAAAGGATGTTAAGAGGCTAAGGCTGTGGCTGAAAATCGATTTGCCAAACCCAAAACTGTTTCTTTCCCTAATGGGAATTAATGTAGCATGAATAAAATTTAATGGCTACTTAGTTCATATTTAGCCACCATAATGCAGAAATAACTGGCTTGAGAAAGATCCTTACAAAGCCTTGGTTTTTGAAAGTTTTCCCACTTTATCAACCTATTGGCAAAATACATTTCAAGTGCTCAAGAGTGGAGAACCAGCTCACCAGTAAACAGAGAAGAGGAAATGGGATGATAACAGGGCAAGAGAAGGCCACATTAGGGGTGGGAGGGCTGACTTGGTAACAAGAGAGATCCCTTTTAGGCACCAGCTTAAACATTCTATTCTTGAATATTCCTTCCTTGATACCCTCAGGCCATGTCAATTCCTTCTGATTACAGGTGCTCTTAAAATTCTACACTGTTTCTCTCAGTTATCACAATTACAGTTGGATAATCCGTATGTAGTCAGTTGTTTGATGTCTATTGGCCTTAGTCGTAAGAGAGCTCCACTGAGCCCACTGCCTATCTGTTCAGAGCAGAAATCTCTGTGGCTAACACATGATAAGCTCTGAAAATCTTAGCTGAATAACTTAACATGAATGGATAGATAAGCCAGCTGGATTCTAGGCACTCTGCTGACACATAAGGAAACTATGATTACTCGATAATAATCTCCTCAAAAATAGCCAATACCTTCCTTCCTATCCTTTAACATAAGTTATATTCTAAGAAAGTGCACTAATTGCATACCAAACCCTTATACCTTTTCCATCAATCCTCTCCTCTCAGCTCTTTCAATGTCGTTTCCTGAATTGACTTCTACCTTTCAATACATAATCATGTTTAGGTTGCTCCCAGTTTTAAAAAAAGAAAAAAAAAAATTATCCAATCACCCCCACCCGACCTAGGTGTTCTTACCAAGGTCGCAAATGACATCACAACTGCCAAACCTTAAGACCACTTGCAAACCCCCATTCTATTTCTCTACAGTATTTGACCCTGACAACCACTCTCCTCTACTCTTAAAACACTTTGTTCTCTGACTTCAGCAGCCTTACTCCCATGATTATTGTCCTGTATTTTAAAATGTGTCTACATTTTTTCCTCAAACCCTTAGTATCTTGTCATTATGATTGTATCAGCCTTCTAACTGATCTCTAACTCCCTCCAATCTATTCTCCACAATGTAGTCATACGTATGTTTGCCTCAACAATGCTCCTAAGTGACCTAGCCTAATTTAGCTAGCTTTGTTATAATAAATTGTCACCCTGATCTTCAGCTTCAAGCACCTTGGTATGGCACAGTTTAATGTACACATGCCTTACGAAAGAATTAAAATATTCTCTTTGATCTTCACCACAATATCCAATGGACCGTTAACATCCTCATACACACTAAAGACATGGTATAACGTAACATTTTCTAAGCTTTAACAAGGCCTACAAAACACTTTTTGCAAAGCTGATTCCAAATACTGGCATCCAGACACATTCACAAAAAAAGAATAAAAAACATACTCATGGTTATCAATTTTTGTGTGACCATTTTCAAATTTTACATCTGAATTATGTCATTTATGGTCCATTATCATGTCCTCAAAATCATCCATACATGTTTCAAATCACACATGCCCTTTATTGCATTTGATCTGAAACTCTTCTGAAGGACTAAGTCCTCACATATAAAAATAAACAGAATAATGGATACCAACTCACAAATCCCCGTCAAGTGACTGAGTCTCTTTGCAGTCATATGACATGCTGTAAATCTCTCGATTTTAAATAGACAACAAAAATACAAACAAGTCTTCCAAAAGTGATCAATGTGTGTAATCAATTTGACACAAATGTTGCTATTGAACAATATATTCTATTCATATTTTTCTACATTATGTGCATGCTATGAATATTAAACAACTGCACATTGCCTTATCTATGGTTCCTGATGGAATTCAAGTCCAAATGTGTCTGCAATTCCAGACTTTAAAACCATTCAAAGCTTTTCAGTCCAAGAGGCAGACTTAATTCCTGCCTCTTCAAACAATCTAGACTTACCAAGACATTGTGTTTTCTCCATACATATGTGGCTTCCTGCCTTTATTCTTAACAAGCCCTTCATTTGTACTGTACTCCTCACTTCTGCCTTTTTCAAATGTTTTTTATCCCTCCTTAAAGGGCCACCTCCTCCATGAAGCTTCTCCATCAAGCCCCCATGTCCCACACTACTTTATCAAATCCTTCTTATACAAGTTCACCCTTTACCCTCAATGCTTGCTATGGATCTATAAATCCCTTGCTAACTGAAGCCTGTGAGGTCCTTGAGACAAGAGACCACGGCTGTCCCACCTTTGACACCTACAGCACTTCACCTATTTTGTCCAATAGAATGGGTGCTTAATAAAAGATCTGCTCAGTGAATGGATTTGACAACTCCACCAAAGACCTCAAAACACAGACCTCTCTTCCAAGCTCAAGAACCATTTTGGTGGTCAAGCCAGACTACAACATGCTCAGACTCCGGAATATACCACAGAAATCCACACAGGTGTGGGCCGATGCTTCAGTAGCTCCACAGCAGATGCAGTCTATAATCAATTAGGCAAACAGAAATGTCCAAACGTGTGCGGAGCTCCATACACACCTGCGAATATTGCGAGCTCACGTCCAAATCCAGGGCACGTGGAAGGGACAAGTGGTCCACAGGCGCAGAAAGCCAGGCCTCGCGCGGTGGGAGGGCGTCTTGGAAATCTGTGCAGGACCCGCCCCACCTACCTTCTGGGTTCCTGTAGCGGGGGAAGGCGCCCTCAAGCGGGCACAGGCGCCCTGGAGCAGGCGCTCTGCGCCATCCCCAGGGGCGGGGTTCCACGTGCTGCCCAGCAGGTGGTCACCAGCGCTAGCCCGGAAACGCTGGCCCGCCCAAGGCCTTCCACTCCTCGGGGAAGTGAGGCGGGAGCCGGTTCCGGAGACCACAAGCCCCAGAAGCCCGTGCGGCCGACTCGGCCCCTACTGCCCCTCTAGGCGGCTTGTTCCCAGGAGGAGCCCAGGGCTCCACAGCGAGTCTAGAGAAAATAACTCTAGCTTTGAGCAGGAGCCTAGTCAACTGGGGCCCTCGGCTCTACGGACCAGGCGTTCTGTAATTTGGGCTCGGGGCAGGAAATGGCGCAGGCCCAGTATTTTTCCTCCGGAGAGCGCCCCCTCGAGCTTGCTCGCCTGAAAGTGAGATTAAGGCCTTGAAGAAAAAAAAAAATCGCTAGAGAGACATATCACGGAAATAAGTGCATTGATTCTAATGAGGGAGCAGGATGGGAAAGGGGGACTTTGGGACCTGATGAAAAGATGAATTATAAAACGATTTTTCTTTTTCCAAAAGTGAAATTAAATTTTTATTTCTTGCAAGAAATTATGATTGTAGAGTGATTTTTCTCACCTTCCTATTTTTCACATTGTATTTTCGCCTTTATTCTTAATCATATATTTTTGCCTTATATGTTGTTTTATAATTCTTTCATGTGCTAGAATCTCAGCTGGATTCTAAACATCCTGAAGGCAGATTCTCTGTAATATGTAGTATTACACACAATGCTTAGTTGCTGTTAAGTAGAAATCTTAATGTGTTATTTATAGAATAAAATATCAAGTATTTTTAAATAGAGATTTGTTAAACTTATTTTACTAAATGGATTTTATTTTATTAAGACATTCATTTGCATCCAATCAGTTATTTTAAATTTCTATACAATGTTAAGCATGATTGCTTTAGCCATCTGCCCCTTAAAGAAATTCAAGGATTTTAAGTCTACTGTAATTTGTTTGATACCATTCATCTTTAAATCCTGCAAAGATAAATTTAAGATAAACCAAGATTGAATTATTTTGAACTCCAAAGTAATGAACAGTAAATTAATGGCTTACTGTATTTGCTGTTCTTATTAACAAATGTAAAATCCAATCATCACAATTCGTTTCTCAGAGAGATAAACAAGGGTCAAGTAGGGGAAATGTAGAAAAGTTGCCTGTGTCCCTGCATGTGTGAAATTCCGTTTCAATTCCACTCATTCATTCATTGAAACATACTGGAATGAACTCGTGTTATGCCAGCACATCCAGGAGGCCAGCTCAGTCTCTCTTTAGCTGCCTCCCTTTAATTTGTCTCACAAGCTTCCTGTTCAGAGTGTTCCATCCACTAATGTCTTAACATTCTCCATGGTGTCTGAGGCAGCTACCTTGACAACTCTTTCATGTCATTTAACTGTTTCTCAGTCTTCTGGCTAATCTTTACCTGATCACTTTCATACCTGCTTTTGCCTTGTATTCCTATTGGTCATCACTTACGGACTGTACTTGCTTCACATTCATTGCCAGCACATAACTGGAGTTCAATCCTGTTGAACTCACAGGGTGAGTCATGATTATTGCCCTATACAAGTGCACAGTCTGATAATTAAACCAAATGGGTAAACAACCAAAATACAGTGCAATCACTGAAATCCACGGGAAAACTGCAAACTGAATTTTAATGAAATCGTACCCTTTCACATTAAGCCTTAGGTAGGTATCTCTTAATCTAAGTAAAATTTATAATTTTCTTTGAGCTTCTGAAAATAATGTGGTTATGAATTTTCCAAAAGTATATAACATAGAATAACTTTCAGGAAAATTGTACGTTTTTGTACTGATTTTGGCCTCCCTCATTTTTAATGAGAATACATAATAGGTAATAAGTACATTTTTGTTGTAAAAAGAAATTAATGGACTCCAGGTACTTGAAGTATTTAATTCTGTGCCTTTTAGGAACTACTTTTCTAAAAACATCATTTGCTTTGACCCAAGCCACTTTTCTAAAGGAGTTTATAAATAACAGAAGGTGAAAATGTGAAAAGATACGTGTAAGGTCTTTTACCTCTTCCTGTTATTCATTGCATTTAAATACAGAGGATCTGAATGGGGCTTGAGCAGACAGTCAGAACAGAATATTTTCAAAAATCATGCTTCTCACATGTAACAGTTTCAAGAGAGCAAGGTTATTAAAAGTCAGTCTACAAATTAGCAAAGGAAACTATTAATGGTAATGATGTATAAATTTTCAGAGTTTGAACAAAAACACAAAAGAAAATGGTTTCTCTGTTTGCAAAATATAAAACCTTAGATGAAGAGAACACTAAATTATTATTAGTCGGTTTACTATAAAACAAAATTATTGAAATGGATAAAATGAGTACAAAAATGTAATCAAATAACACACAGTAACACAAATAACACCTTAGTTGCTGTTGTGTGTTATTTGAATATTAATTGTAAGATGGTTAGTTTAATCAAAAACAGCAGAATATCTAATAAAATCTCAAATAAAGATGTGTTACTTTAAAAATACCTATTGTTTAAAAACATTAAAGAATGACATTTTGCATTATTTTATTATATACAATTATAAAAATGATATAAACTGCTCTATCACAAAATAGAAATGTCATCAATAATTCATAAACCAACATGCCTTACACAGAAAAAAATTAGCTTTGTGTTCAGTTAAGCAGTTTAGGAAACATTTATCATCTTAGGTACTACTTAGAAATAATAAAACCCCTGTTTACAATGTTCTAGCAGCCTAGTAAGAGAACCAAATTTTAAAGTCAAGTATAATGATTAATAATAACTAGCAAATATTACACATACTATACCAGGTAATCATGGACTATCTGATTTGATTAATCCTCACAAAATCCTTACGGGTCATGTAATGTTTTTAATCCTTAGTTTACAATAAGCTAACTCTGATTGATTAATTCATCCAAGGACATTCAGCTAGTAGATGGTAGAGCTAAGACCTCCACCCCACCCTATCTTACTTCAAGGTGCATAAACTTAAAGTGCATAAACTTAACCCTTCACTCCAGCACATCCAGGAGGCCAGCTCAGTCTCTCTTTAGCTGCCCCCCTTTAATTTGTCTTACAAGCTTCCTGTTCAGAGTGTTTCATCCACTAATGTCTTTAACATTCTCCATGGTATCTGAGGCAGCTACCTTCACAACTCTTTCATGTCTTTTAACTGTTTCTCGGAATTTTGGCTAATATTTTACCTGATAACTTTCACACCTGCTTTTGCTTCATATTCATATTGGTCATCACTTAACTATTGGCTGTACTTCCTTCAAATTGGTCTAACAGCCTAGCGTAATCTTCAATAGATAATAAACCTATCGTTATTTGATTTAACATTATTTCACAGAATCCCACATATCATTATCTTTAAGAATTCAATTGCTATTAACACAAAATTTGTAATTTATAATGTCATTTACATAATTATTAGCATATTACAGATGCCCTCTTGCAACTTTTTCCCAATCTTTGTCAATATAGTTGCTATCTTTGCTTTAAAAGAGCAAAGTCCGTAAGAGTTTATAGTGTTTAAATCTATTAAACTATGAAAGACATAAGAAAAAATGTATTTTAAAAATACTTAAATTTGAAGCATAAAGTGTAGAATTGTAGAAAAGTGGAAAGATTGAGAATACAGCTGAGCAGAGGCAGTGTTTATAACTATGAATAATATCTCATTTTAATATACCTAAATCACACATTGTAAAAAGAACTATTCCCCGAATTGAAGTATTTTATTTGTCTACTTATATTTGTGAAGAATGTTCAAAAGTGTTTTCACTGAAATTTCTATTTTGAATATACAGAGAATGTTTAGGCTTTGAAAAGAAACACTGCAAACAAAAATCTGTTTCTAAAGTAAATAAGTCTTTGTTGTATGAATATTGCACTCTAATTTATGTGTTTATGAGCTCAGTTTTTCGTGCTATTTTATCTTCTTGGAACGAATGAGAAGTTCCACGGTTTTACCAACTGAATTGATGAAAAGACATGCAAAACAAATGAGACTAAACTACTAAAATTATAAGCACCATAGAAGCCATTTTAGGTCTACTAGGAAAGAAGAAAGGCACTCTATTAAGATATCAAGTAAAAAAGCAAATCACTGAGGCACATTAACAATTTGGAAAAGGGACTTTAGAGGTGCATATGGCGAAACCTTCCATGGAGACAAAAGAGCTTGTTCAGTTACTATTGGAGGCATTGTGACTTTCTGAAAGAACGGATAACAAAGAAAGGTAAGGCAAAAGAGGTTCTCTGAAGAAGATGTACTTTTAAAGCATTCCATTTGCATTAAAGAAATACAAGAATTAGGCAGAAATATTAAGAAATATTCAGAACTAAATGCTGCCAAGATCAACATTAAAAGTAAAAGTTTATTTAATGATAGGGAAGTTTTTAAAGTCACAATTGTTAGGTCTTATTTCATAATGGAAATATTAATCGGTATAAACATTCGGGGTAAAATATAATGTTAAATGAAGGACTATTAAGATTAGTTGGGGAAAAGAAACTCACCAATTATTTTCAGCAGAGGAAGAAAAAGCAGAGTGGTGGAAAATCCATTAGTGGAAGAGTGTGGTTCTGACTGTGTAGACACCACAGCTTATAGCTCAGTATGGCATGCAAACTGTCAAAAATAGAAAGGTTGGTACTAAAAATGCTTAGGGATACAGAAAAAACAAACTCTCATCATCTTCTGTTATCTAGCAATATATCTGTTTTATCCTCAATTGAGATGAGTTTGTTGCTTTACTTGTTTTGTTTTTGACCTTGATAGGAGACATATAGTATACTAAATACGAGCATGAGCTCTGAATAGCAGGCATATAGTATAGTAAATATGAGCGTGAGCTCTGAATAAAGACTGCCTGGATTATACTCCTAGTTTTGCTCCTTACTAGTCAGTTGACCCAGTATAAATTGCTTTGCTTTTATAACTTCAATTTCCTAATCTATAAAATGGAGAAGATAAGAATTACACTTACATCAAGTGATATAATTCATGTATATAGCACCTTAAAGAGTGTCTGGACCATACTAAATTTTAAATAAATATTTGCTATTATTACTGCCTGAATTCCTACCTCCCTTTGCCTAGTGATTTTTTTTTTTAGCAAATCCAAGTGTAAAAGTAAATAGATTGCTGTAGTAGATATTGCAGTTTTCTTTGCCCATTAGCAAATGAGTATGGATGATTTTTTTCATAACGAAACCCTCAATTATTATTAA